AGAGAGAGAGAGAGAGAGAAAGTTAGATAGAAAGAGAGAGAGATAAGTGCGACGGGTGCACGCACACACGTGCAATACACTGGCGTCATTGCCTCAGGGCTTAGGCGCCACTCTCTTCCCTCTTTTCCCCCTACCCCTTGCCCCACCTTCTGTCCCTCTTCCTTTTTCCCTCTCTCTCTCTTTCTAGTTTTCCTACACTTCCCGTCGTATGAAAAGAGAAGGAGAAACTTAACTTTGCCAGAGCATTCGACGATACTTAAAGTGTACACTAACGTAGATAAATTTTAGTCATGTTAGTTTAATTTCTCTTTTTTTTACCCCCTATATTTATTATTTTTAATAATACATTTTTTATATTATATATATTTTTTATTATATATTTATAATTTATTACATATTGTATTATATATTTTTTATATTATATATTTTATTTTATATTATATATTTATTTTATATATATGTATGTATTATTTATTGTAGATATTGTATGTGTGTGACGAAGTTTTATTTAATATTATTTTGTCAGGGCTTTTGATATCGAATCTGTTTTATTTGAAATATTTTTATACTATATTTTTCTTTTTTCTATAAAATGTTCAATGTTCATTAGTATAGATAATATATTGTTTTTAATATATTTTACTTTCGATAAATTAATTTATATGATAATTTATTTGTATCTATATATATAAATTGTTCATTAAGTTTTATTATATTATTGAAATATTTTAGAAAAATTATGATATAACAATAGTAATCAAAGAAATTTTCTATACCTATTAATACGATCATTCTCATATCATTTTTAAAATATTAACATTTATTAAGTACAATGTACACGAGGATAACACAACGAGGGATCCGACAGACAAGATACACTAACACACATCTAAGAACGAAGAAGTAGAGAAATAGAAGTAGAAGTAGAAGTAGATGAAGAAACGCAATCTCGTAGCTTTGCAAGAGGATGAGTAGAAAAGAGAAGAAACGTACTTTGCTCGGTTTAAAAACTAACATAATCGGCGAATGTGTTCTCTCTTCGTTGGCAGAGAATATCTACCTAGGGTGCTTGCATACATACATACATATATATATATATACCTATGTGTATGTATGTTCAATGCATATATGTACTGTAAGTGTATTTGATGCGTATGTATTACTAATACATATATGATTCATACGTATACGTACTGAAATAAGTTGTGTATCTCATATGTGTTATTAGTTAGTATGTATATGTGTACTGAAAACGATTGTGCGTGCTATACATGTTACTGTATGTGTGTGTAAGATTGCGTTTACCCGATCCTAACCGACATTAACGACAGTCACAGTGGTGGTAGTGGTGTGTTGATGGTTATGGTGGTGTGGAAGTAATGTTGGTAGTGTGGTGGTGGCGGCATTTGCTTTTTGAAAGAAAGGGGAGAGAGAAAGAGAGAGAGAGAAAGAATGAGAGTGGTAGTTGAGGGCGTAGTGGTGGGGGTGGGGTGTGGAGGAGGGGCAGAGGGGGAAGGGGGAAAAGAGAGGGATATTCGTCAGTCCTCTGAGAGTCCTCCTCAGTCGGTCGTCGAAGAGCGCCGTGTACGGATGTTAAAATTTGTTCTTCTTAAAGTATAGTTTTATATATATACATATATATATATATATATTTATCGTATATATATTACATATCTCTATTATAATTTATTTTTTCGATCATTTTCGTATCAATAGAAATTACATTGTCGTTAGATTATCAGCCACATATTTTTTTTTTTACTTTTTATCCCTTTTTATTTTATTTTTTTTTTTTTTAATATTTCTCGTTTCTTTTTTAATTATACGAGTACATATACATTGTCATATTACGGGATTACTATCAAAATTTATCAAAAGTTTGGATTTTTCTCACGCGAAGGAGGAGGAGGAGGAGGAGGGGGAGGAGGGGGAAGAGGAATCAATCAAATCGACGTAACTCTTCCACACGTGCTCTTTCGAATAATAATAATATTTAATCGAGATCAATTTTTTGGATTTTTCTTTTCTTTTTTGATTTTGTTTTGAAATAAATAAAAAAGAAGATATAAAGAAAGAAGAGAAATTATTTTATTTTCTTCTTCTATTCGTTTAACGATTTATTTGAAATCGTTATTGTTAATTTTTGATCATTGTGAGATTATCCTCTTCGTAAATAAGTGTCAATCATGTTGTCCTGGGACTTGTCAACCATCGTCATGATAATGACAACCATCACTTTGGTTTACACTAATGGTGCTTCCATTGATTTTGATTCAACCGATTACGATGGGCTTTCGGAAAACGAAGAAAAATCTTCCAACGACAAAGGTAACATTTTTTTATATTACACACGTTTTTCTTTTTTATTATATTATAATTTAATTATTATATATATATATATATATTAGAAAATAACAAAATCTCGTTTGTATATATTTTGTTTGATTTTTCGATATAATGTTATTTAAATATCAATTATTTTCGAATGAAGAAATTTCGATAATTAATATGGTAATTTAGGATATTTTGATGGTTTTTATTAGTTCAAAGTTACGAGAATTTTATGTATATTAGGATAGTTCACGTAACTTTATGAGTAGTTCCATTACGATAATCGACAGTGTAACACTTTCGAGGAGTTTACAATATCTCAATTGCGTTTATCTAGAATAGTTAAAAGAATGTATGATATATGTTTATTGCTTTCTCCTTCTTTCACACACACACACACACACAATCGATGTTTTAAAATACATTAAGATTAATCGTTAAATTGTGTACGACATATATTCTTGAAAGTTTCTATGGAATTAATTCAACTAACAGAATATTCAATTCGAATTGAATTCATATTCGTGGAAATAAATGTATCGTGAATTTTGGTAAATACATATACACATTTTTTTGTTTGTTATTTAACACATACACAAATATATATTTAATTTTAATATTATTTATAACGTGTTTAATATTGCATATGAATAACAATGTTATGGTAAAAGTCAAGGGTATTACTCATCATGCGACCCCCTTAAAGCTTTCCTTCTCTATCGTCCAATGAGATTTGTTTATTCTGGTATCTTTGGACGCACGTGCGATCCTAAACGCGTGTTATGCATCATGTTGTATAGGTAAATAATAATACATGCACGCGAATGATGAAAAGTTTTACTATTAATTAGAATTCCTGTAATATAATCGGGAAAGAAAATAACGTGACAAATTTAATTTGCTGATAAGATTCGTTAATCTAATGTAAACAATTGTTTCTTGTTTTTTCTTTTTCATTTTCATTTTTTTACGATTTACGTAATCATATCACTGTGAAAGTTCTATCGAGAATTATACAAACGATTTTTTATTAAAAATGAATTATAGTAATTATTGTTAACAATATTTTTCGAAAATTTCAGATAAATAATATCTTTGATCACTTTTCGTTATTTATAATTAGATTTTATTTCAATATCATTAATAATAGATATAAATTCAATTAAATTCAATCAATTAAATTATTACAAACGAAAATATTAATGAAATAAAATTGAATAGCAGTAATTTGGAATATATTTTACCTAACAAATATATTTCGTTGATTATAAATTTGATTTTAAGACACATATATAATAATAAATAGAAATATTTATTAATGCACAAATCACTGATTGTTTTATAATATTACAAACGAATATATTTTTCTATTTTATTGATCATAAACTTTTCGTTATAAATATTCATTGTTTACTATACTACATATTGTGGATAATTTTTTGTCTTATTTTTTTCCCTGTCTGGTGATTAAAAGAGAAACATTTTATTATGATTATAATACTTTGAAAAAAAACAAAAAAAGTTGTGTGTGGTAAACAAGTAGGATCAAAAAGAAGGCGACTAGATGGGCGTCGTCCTACCTTTTTTTTCTCATCGCATTTATGGCTCGAATTTACAACGAAAACTTTGGCTCTTTACTTGATATTCGATTGCCAAGATATAAATAGAAGATTCCTAGAGAGATGGTTACTGTAAAAGGATAGAAAACTTGATCATATAACGTATCGTTTTATTTTTAATACAAAATACGAATCATTCGTTTCATTTAATTTCATATATATCTAATTATCATTATTTATATTACATTTGAAATTTTTATTCATTATTTTTAACAATAATATACTTTGATCACGTTTAAATAATATCTTCATTCAATTTTATATGAAATTGTCATCATTTATATATTACATTTTAGATTTTAATCGATAAAACACATTGATCGCATTTAAATAAAAAAAAAAACAAGCAAGAATAATTATCATTTATTATACACGAATAATATTAATAAATTCTCATAACTTATATATATCAATTATATGATATTTTTTTTATTTTCAAAATGTGCATAACTTTAACGACATGAGTTAGATAATAACAACTGGTAAAACTTGCCAAATAATTGATTTATGTATTTACCTGTAAACAAATGAACGTATAAAACAACAACATATTTTCGTTTAGAATCGAGTAACAATAATAATAATAATAATAATTGTTGGAACGGTTTGTTTAATCAACGCGTAGAATCACATTTTTTGTTCTTTTTTATTATTCGACACACTGTGTTCTTATTTTTTCAAGCATACGTACTTCTACTTTCTTGAATTAATTTATTATATATAAATACGAAGGAATAAGATAGAAAAAGAGATAGAAAGAATGAAGGGATTCGGAAGGGTGAAGAAGGGTGGAGGGAAGGGAAAACAACAAAATTATATACCCATAGTAATTAATTCATTCCCATGGGTTAATTTAATGCGTTCATTGTTTCGAGAATTACTATTTGAATTTTCTTCTTTTATTTTTTTCTTTTTTGCGTTAACATAATCGAGTGGTCGAATAGATTTTTTTTTCTCTCAAATTAAAGAGAGAAAGAGAGAGTGTGATGGATAAAATGGGGTAAAGGGGATGAGAAGGGGGAAGAGTCGGATAATAAAATCGTTTTCTCGAACGTTTGGCAAAACATTTGGGAAAGATCTTTCATCGTTCATTGTAAGATGTACGATCGATGGATGGATTTACGTTTCCACCAAAATGGCGCCTGTGATAGTACGTATAAATACATTTTCGGATATAAAGAAAGAATAAAGATTCTATTCTTTAATTTTGTTCATTACAAATAATATTCTCAAGGAAGAATACTTTGTTATAATATTATTATGTGATTAGATAAATTTATTTTAAAAAATGATATATTAAAAATAAATTAAAATAGATGTGAGATAGTGAGAGATTGATTGCACGATGTTAGAGTAAAAAAATAAAAAAGAAAAAGAAGAATAAAAACATTTTTAGATATAAAGAAAGAAAGAATAAAGATTCTATTCTTTAATTTTGTTCATTGTAAATTATATTCTCAAGGAACAATACTTTGTTATAATATTATAATGTGATTACATAAATTTATTTTAAAAAATGATATATTAAAAATAAAATAAAATAGATGGAAGAGATAGAGATTGATTGATTGCACGATGTTAGAGTAAAAAAATAAAAAAGAAAAAGAAGAAAATAAACATTTTCGGATATAAAGAAAGAAAGAATAAAGATTCTATTCTTTAATTTTGTTCATAATATTATTAAGGAAGAATACTTTGTTATAATATTATAATGTGATTAAATAAATTTATTTTAAAAAATGATATATTAAAAATAAATTAAAATAGATGTGAGATATAGAGATTGATTGTACGATGTTAGAGTAAAAAAATAAAAAAGAAAAGAATAAAGATTCTATTCTTTAATTTTGTTCTT